GCTCCAGCTCCCTGCGAGTACATCACACCTAAAGGACGCCGCTTCCCTGTGCTGGGCAGGGGCCCCGTGTCCTGCCCTGCCCGGCTTCTGCAATGCCACCCAAGCAGCCCCACTGTTTCCCCAGCTCCTAGTGATGGGTCCTGTCGGGACGGGAAGAGCCCCCACCCAGCCCCCTGGTCTGGAGACTGCCTCGCCCCGTCTGGTTTGGAGCTGATTTGAGCTGGAACATGAAGTATAATAATAATACGCCCCCTGTGCTTTTTGTTTCTCGGCCTCTTGTGGGCTAAGATCAAGCGGGGGCATCTGAATCCCAAAACCTTTGATGGAGCATCTGAAGTCGGTGGGGTGGAGGATGCTCACTGGTTGTAGCAGCCTACGTGGTGTTTGGAGCGACTGAGTGGTGCCTGCTCGACTGATGTGGGTTGTGAGGTCTGCTCAATTGATGCAACGTGGGACTGATTTGGGTGGTTTATACTGGAACACAAAATATTCATCAAAAAATAAAAGGGGGTTGCTAGTGCTGATGGAGCAAGCGAGGAAGATGGGTCGTGTGCATCTTAAGCTCTGTGCTGTCCTAATCCCGTTTATCCATACCTCTGACAGTGGTAGTAGTAAGTGGCCCATCTATACCAAGAGCCACAGCATGGCTAATAGTGGAGGGACTGGCCTACTACTGTACTGGCTCTCATAGGAAATGGGTGCAAAATGTCCTTAGTGCAGAGAAGGTCTGGTAACCATCGCTATTGAGGGGCAAACAGAAAGACCTTAAGGTGCTTTGCTCTTTTCTTATGCTGGGAAAAGCTGTTGGGAAGGTCACAAGGCACTTGGGTTAGCAGTGACCACTCCCGTTAATTCAATCTGTGTTGTATCATGCGCTCTCTCAAATGTGAGCCTTTCTCTGCTTTGGCAATGAAAAGCAAGCCAGTTTTGCTCTGGAGGTGAGTGAGATTTCCATTCAGGTTTTTTGCTGTGCGCGCTGAAGAGAGCATGCATTAACTGCTGTACAAAACAGTAACTTTTGAAATGAAGCAGCAAAAGTCCTGGCAATGCAGTAGGTCTTGGTTTAGAAACACAGTCACCTTTTACCAATTGAAAAGCATTCTTGTATCAAATTTGGGCTCAGTGTCTTCAAAGTGTATGCAAAATGTGCTGGAGAAGGGAAAGGATGATTGTTTGATGGAGAAGACAGACTGCAAATTGGGTCTAGCAAAGTAGCAATGGTAGAGATGCTAACTTTAATCTCTTTTAAATGGTCTGTAATGTAATTAACCTCAGGCTATTGTTTTTCATGTTGGTAGGCCAAAGATAACTCTCAGCCCCAAGAGCCTGCCATGCTAGATGGCAGCTGATGGTTTTTAGCACAGAACATAAGATCTGTAATGTGTCTTGAATTTTAGCTGAGTTTCGGAGGTGGGGAGGGAAGAAGCATGAGCTGTGAGACTGTGTTCAAGCGTGTGCCTGGCTTTGTCCAGGGCAGGGGCTCTCAAAGTGTAAGCTTGGTGTTGCATTCATTTGCAATGCAGCAATTGTTAAAAAGGTTATAATGAAGTGGTGTAGCCTGGGACCTGAAGATCTAAGGTAGAGAGAGCTGATTAGCAAATGGATATCAGCCTGAAAGTTGTGTGCATCTCTGCGTGCCAATAAAGGCCGGTAAGTCACAAGCCCAACTGTGTGGAATATTTTACACCTAAGTGCTCTAGCAATGGGATTAAATTCTAGGGAGGGAGATTCAGTGGTACTGCTGAGTTGTGCCTGGAAAAAGCACACCCTCTTTCATTAAGCGTGTCTTCAGTTACAGGAGGGGAAGCTGAATTTCCTTATTGCTGAAGTTTGGACGTAGAAGTACACAGCTGAAGTTGGAGGGGTGTGTGTGTCATAATGTCTGTGGTACAAGCATGAGATAAGCAAGCAAAGCTGAGTCGAGGAACGTGGCTTATTCCTGCATGGCGACAGGAAGTATTTCTTTGGATAGGTTTGGAGCTGTGAGACATCGTTGTCTTTTTGTAGGTGTAAATCAGGGTTATATGGAGCAGGTTAGCTGCTATCCCAGATAGACCATCCTTTGATGTTCTAACTTGATTGAAGCAAGTAAGTCAAGTGTAGGGAGGGGTGTGTGTGATGATGAGGTGGGGACAGTGACATTTTTATCACCTTATTTCTGCCACTACTGTAAACAGAGGGCAGATGGTGACCCTCATGTGCTATGTGCTTCCTGGACGCTCCAGCGATTATTGGCTTTTCCCCCATTGCCAACCACCAACACATTGTTTGTGCTCAGCAGCTAACCTTTTTCTTCTGCCAGTTAAATGCAGGCAGGTTGCATGCTGGGTGGCCTTTTCAATGTTTATGTTGGACTAATTAGATGATGTGCCTACTGGTATTTGTGCTTGTTGAATCAATATGATTGTCATAATGAAGCCTAAGAGTTTCTGACCTTTGTTTACTTGCCTTTGACTGTGCACGAAGTGATTTCAGGGCTGCATCTTCCCAGAACCATTCATCCGAGTTATCAACACTTGAGGGAATTCCTTGTGAGGTAGCTTATCTTCAAGAAGAATGGCTAAAGTTTGCAAAAAAACCCAAAAAACAACCAAACAATTTTTGGTCTAATAAAAGATATCCCATATTATCCAAAGAACCTTGTCTGCCTATGTCCTTAGACCGGGGGTGGGCAAAATGTGGTCTGTGGGCTGGATGTGGCCCGCCAGGCCATTCTGTCCAGTCTGTGGGGCCCCTAAAAAATTTAGAAAATTAATATTAATCTGCCCCTGGCTACCTGTCATGTGGCCCTCGATGGCTTGCCGAAACTCAGTAAGCGGCCCTCCACCTGAAGTAAATGCCCACCCCTGCTTTAGACCAACACGGCTATAACCAAGATTGGATGAGGGCAGAGCAGGGACCTGACAGGGCAACATTGTACAAGCATAGGACATAGTTGCTATCCCCAGCAAACCAGCCAGCTTCAGTTAAAAACAACATCATGCTCAAGTGCTTTTGCTTGTGGATGAGACCTGAGTTGGGGCCAACATTCAAATTATACCTTGATGTAATTTTGTAGTGAGAACAAAGAACTGCCTTTTTTATTGAGAGACTCTTGGCTTGCAAATAGACCACTACGGATCTCAGGTGGAAGGCTTCCAAGGCACATTGACCCACGGTTTGAGGCGAGCAGCAAGTTGTGCATTGCTTTGTGTCTGCTGTTGTGTCGGCCAGTTTTTATCCTTGTCCACGGTGAGCAGTGGGTGCTGGACATCAGGAGGCTCTTCTTGCAGACCTTACGTTTGTGGAAGGCGCGCAGAGCATTTGGAACTAAAACACTATCACGGTGGTACTGTCTTTTACCAGTGGCATTGCTCATTTCTAACTCTGGAAGTAATAGCCTTTGTACCTAACATCGCACCAGCTCTTTTTTGCCAAAGATAACTAGGATTTTCCTCCTGGTCTTTTCAGGTTCTAGTTCATTTTTAAATTTGAATCTTGCAGATACTAATGTTTGTGCTTAGCTCTAGTGCAGGTAAGTGGAGCTACTTGCCCCAGTGAATTTATAAAGAGAGATCTGTAGCAGTCCCCTTTATCTCTGATAATGTCTCCTTTCAGTTTGTCTAAACTCTACATAGGTTAATTTTTAGACTTATGCCTGAACATGGTGCCCTTACAGGCATACTGCAGAACGCTTTTATCTGACAGCATATTGTTTTCAAAAACCCTCCAAGAACTAGAGAGAGACAGAGTTATGATTATTCCTCTTTTGTGCTTTATAATATTAATTGCCTCCTAGTGCACCTAGATCTTTCAACAGGCATCTTTTAAAACTATATTCAATCTCAATAAACAAACAAGAATTTGCAAGTGAATCAGGGGTGTGTTTTTTCCCCACTCATAAATAAAACAAAGTCTGTTCTGGTTACAGATTAACGTTTTCTGATTGCTTGCATTGCCTGCCTTTGAATTGGACCTGCAGATATTTCAACAAATATAGTGATGCAATTCGTTTTTCAGATAGCTTCTTTCTTTAGCAGGCTGCAAGAGATTCACTTATTTTCTTGCGGCTACTATTCATTAGGAGAAATATTTCTTTCTGCTGTGTTTTAAGATTATAAAGCCATACATGAATTACGCTCCTGTTGAATGATGGTATTTTATGCCACAAACCAGGCCAAATACAATTATTTTAAGGAACGGTTTTGCATCGCACAGCATCACAAACATTTACACAAACGTTTTCAAATAATTTAAGCCTGACGTTTGATGTGCTCTGAATTTCTTCCCTGAAGAATGATTCATGTATTCTATGGATTCAATGAATTTTTCTTTAACATTATTTTTTAATGTTCACACGAGCATCAATTTGATAGGTTTGAACTGTGTCTTTTCCAGTCTTTGTGCCCTGTTTTAAGTGTTTCATTTTACATGGTGAATCCAGGTGAGGTAGCTTGTTTCATTTGCATCTGGCTACAATGTACTTGCAAAAATGAATCATTCATTGGGAGTATATCTGTTAACAAATTTTCATAAAAGATCTGTCAGTACAAAACCAAAGCTTCAGATTAAAATGACCAGATATCCCTTTCAGCACAAATGTGCCTTTGCAGTTCTTTTCTTTTCTTTAATAAGAAGCCTACAAGTGTGTCTGTTTGCTCAGGATATTATTGCATGATACAGTGTGGCAGGGCATTTGGTGTGTGCCTGCCGCTTGGAGAGGTCAGGCAGTCTGCTGAGCACCCGCAGGTGGGGCCAGGCCTAAAGCAAGAGTCAGCTGACCCAGGGGGCTGGCAGGTGAGGCTAAGCAGGATCAAAGGAGTCACCTGA